TTTTGATGATAATGTATTTTCGTTTAATGTAAATTGCAACACGAACTCTGTGTGTGTGTGTGTGTGTGTGTTAAGAATAAAAGCAATCAAATTATACTATTAATATTATTATTTATGTTACTATCTAATATAGTAGACACAAAATCTCTTATAATTATGATATTCAATTTAGAATTATTGCAATAATGAAGATTATTTTAGTTTTGTACAATCGTATATCAATGGAAAGGATTTTAATGGAAAGGCTTTTAAGTTTACAAAACAAACACGAGCCAAAATAACGATTAACTCATTGTTATATATTTCGATCGTTATATCATAAACTATTAGAACTAACGTAACTTGATCCGATAACCATTTAAAATCTTGTAGTAGAAAAATGAGCAGTAATGGGTTAATATACCACGTTTAAAGGGTTAATGTCAAGATCTTTAAATTCATATTTGCCTCATTAAAAGTTTTCGAAATGATTGTTGAAAACTATTAATGATGGTTTTACTTAATTCCATCGCTACACTGGATTTCCGTTTTTTTTCGTCTATTTGCTACTTTCAGTTGGTAATCAAGTCATAAATCAAATAAAATTTATGCGGATGAAACTTCTCGGTGCTTCGACCGTGTAAATATTGCAAGTTGCAAAATGTTAATAAGTATCGTTTGAAAGCACTCTTTATGCTTGATTTTTTCCTCTTCTGACTTTCGAGAAAACTCATAGAGATATTTTAATTTTTAGATAAGCTTTTGCTTTGTTATTCTCATCCTTTCAAAAATAGATTAATAATACATTTTCCTGCTTCTTTTTTCTTTTTTGTTCTTCTTAAAGAATATCGTTTCTTCGCGTTAAACATCCAGCACATTTCAATGCGTTATCTGTTGAAATATTAAGCTTTTTATTGTGCCTTTTTATTCTTCTTTTTACGGGTTCGAGTCACTTTTCTAGGAACATCTTTTCACATCTATCAAATACTACCAAGTGATCTTTTTATCGACTCTCTAAGGTCAACAGTACACGATTTTTGTTTTTCTTTTTTCCGAACGAGTCACCCATTCCCAATGTAGCGAGACCTTTGATTTTATTAAATGTTTTATATTAATATGATACAACATAAATATAAAATACGACTCTTATAAATCTCACACTATCAATATCAACATGTGAGATCGTAAATCGTCAAGTTTATAAAAAAGAAATCTCAAATAGAAAGGGGGAGTATTTGTTACTCCGATTTAGTATTTGACCAAACGTCAAGATGTTGATAAGTAAATTCATCGATCCTTTAACAGAACTTATATTAAACGAATATTATATAGATATAGAAAATTTAGATTGGTGCGCACTTGCAACGTCAGACTCTCTTACCCGCACCTGCTGTCAGCCGATTTTCGTTTACTCAGTATACATTCATTCGTCGAGCCCATACACCGACAATTAGAGATATTTACACGGTAAGACCAGGGCTAAAGTTTGCTCGATTAGTCGCGGCTTAAAGGCGTAGATTTGGTAGAACGGGTAACCACGCCCGTGCCAGCCTCTCGGAGGACTTTACAGCTCTGCAAATCGAGCGGATAAAGGTGCCAGCTTAATTCCAATAGCTAGCTCCCTATCGGCTAGTAGTGAACGAAACACAACACGTTCTGCTTGACGGTTAGCGGATACGAGGGTCAAAATGTGTACAAGACTAAGAGGGAGGAATAGGGTGTACAAGGTTGAAGGTAGTCAGATTAGTGGGAGGGGGGGAGAAGGCTTAGCCATCGTTGCTCGTAAACGTTTTATGTCTAACATTCGGCGGCGGCAAGGATGAGAAGGGACGCGTACTATCCTGTTTCGTTCGGTTCCTCGACCAGCAGCACCAACGACGCCAGCAACCTAGACCACGCGTTATAGCGGTACGCCCTGCACGGCCAGCAAATTTGTTTCCTAACGCCGACGCGGCTTAGTACATTGCTCCGCCTGCTTGCCGTCACTAATTATTTTCCGTAACAAGCATGAAATATTCCCGTGAGAGCACAGACGACGGTCTCGGGGAGATATTACATAAGCCGCATGCTCGCTCGACACCCACCTATCACCTCCCATCTCTGTCTCTCCTTCCTCCATTCTCTCTCTTTCTCTCTTCCTCTCTTTCTCTCTATCTATGTACCTATCTATCTATCTTTCTCTTTCTTGTTCTACGACGCTTAGCTTGCTTTCTTGTTTCCTTCCAACTAGCTTCGTCGTTCCTTCTTGGTGTCTACTCGCAACAGCCCTCTACCACCGTATCTTCCTATTCTGGCCAGGAGTCTCCAGTGTTTGTATGCGTAAGTGTACGAGAATGTGTTGCCACCGAGAGAGAGAGTGGAACTGAACGCTATAAAACACCTTACGGCACTGCCTCTGCAGGAAGGAAGGAAGCAGCAAAGATCCACCCGTAAACGTTACGATGGAATCCCCGTACCTAGCTACTCTTAAAACCGGAAGGATTGTCTCGTATGTCTTCCAAGTGTCCGTCGAATATGCAAGACCGCGTAAAATAGCGGATGCATAGTCGATTATGAAATTCGTTTTATCTTCTAGGAAATTCTTACCTCTTGTGTTTTTTCTTGTGGATTTTCAAAGACACGGTAAAAAGATCGGAAAAGAATATGATTCTATTAGCTTAACATATTCCATTACAAATTGATAAAAGTAAATTTTGTTTAGTAAATCCCTTCATTAGTATTTCTTGAAAACAATTACCGTCGCGAGTTCAATTTTTCCAAGAATGCACGATATCTTTCATAATAAAAGGCAAATTTGTCAGGCTCTCGTTGTTGTGAGCCGATTTTCTTATTTTGTATTATGCGGTAAGCAAAGTTAAAAATTGTATATGGTAGATATGATTATGTAGACAATATGATACGGTTGGAAAGAAGCACAATATCATTGGTGGTCGTTTAAAGTGAAGTGAACTATGGCGAACGACAATGCGCATGTGTGCATTGGATTACCGACTTTGTGATCTTTCCATTAAAATTTCGATTAAGGAACGAAACAGAAAGGTAGGATGGTGGTATATTTTGTCGCTAACGCTCCCGAGATTGGTGCTAGCTCTCTTTTTAGCAGATTCGCGGAAAAAGCCTTCGAGGATAAATACGATTACCATGCAAAGCACCGTGGAACGTGTGCAATCGGCTAGATGGCAAACACACTCACGTGCACGAAACGCACACGTTAAAGCATACGTGTCGTGACACTCTAGAGTATGTTCTATGACATTACGTATATGCTCCCCTTCTCTCTCTCTATCTCTCTCTCTCTCTTATAAAGAAGTCGCTTTGTCGAATATTTAGATCCTTTTAAAATTATTTCTAAGCTTCTAGAGTAAGTAAACAATCGTCCTTTCTCGCAGAAAAATCAACTTTCAATTTTTTTACCTTAATCAAATTATCTCTTCACCCTTTTTTCGAGTCACGATTTAGCTCCATGATGGGAATTAAGGCGAAAGAAATTATTATTCCGAGTTGTTCAGAGATAGAAAAAAAAATTACTACCGCGTCAAGAAGAAGTTTGTTGATATCGTCGCAAAAATATTGTATCTCTTTCATCTCTCTTCACACATTGTTATCCTACAAATTAGCAATAAAATATTTAATTTAAAATAAATCGTTTTATCAATTTTATTAATTATCTTTAATTTTATTTAACTAGAAAATTTCATATTTATATATTCGAGGGATAGAGGTAATATTAATAAATTTAAAAAAAAAAAAATAACGGGGAATTTTATACGATAACAAATGCAAATTAATGAATTACACTTTTTTTTTACTTCTATAATTATTTTTTTAAAAGGATGTTAAATGTATAAATTAATAATATAATCTCAACAATGTATTTTCTCATGGTCGGGAATCGAATTATTTTTCAGACACCGGATTTCAACGAATTTGGAAAGATTTTCCTAACGAAAAATTATTGCCAGACGCAAAACGCCATTAGCGAAAGTATTACCGGCGTCACTAATGGTATTCATTCTCCGATTCATAACCACGCGCGAGTGCTAATTTGTGGAAATGGAATATCTGTCCTGTTTTGTGATATGATTATTCTGACGTTGATGAGGTTTACGTTAATGGACTGTTGGACTGGTCTTCGTGGAAAATGTTCGGCGAATGACCATGAATGTAAAGCAGATTCGTTCACAAAATTATTGTAAAAAGTTTCGACAGAACGCAAGCAGATCGATGGTTGCCACAAATTTGAATAGACGCTTTTTGAAATTTGCACGATTATACTATTTTCTATATATATATGCGCTCAATCTGCATACATGTAGATTGATTGCGGCGTTTAAAATAATTGACGCGATCGAAAGTGCTCGAACGCAACTGGTCGAACGACTTTTATCGAGTACTTTCCACTAACTGATTTTTCCGTTCATAGACCGTAACTTGACTCAATTAAATCGATTATTCGTATGTGTTTATTCATATAGTACTTTTTGAAAGTAGTTGATCGTATTTATTAACGTGTCGGTTTGTTCATGCAGATTTAATTATATCTTGGAAATAAAAACAACTGTTATAATTGATAGAGAAATTGTTGAATTTTTATTTGACATAATACTAGATGTGTAAATTTAATTGAAAAGAATAGAGTACTGTTATTACGATCTTCATAATGTACAATGTATTTTATTATTTAATTATTTACGCAAAAATATGTACATAGTTGTATATAGAAAATCAAGGTAAATTTTATCTACACGATACTTTTTTACTATTGCTACACTAATTGCACTTTCTTAACGATAAACTTATAATATACTTGCTTTGTTCAATGAGGTATAACGTTTTATAAGTTACTTACATCTAGAGTACGCTTACGACAAAAGAAGGAATTACGATTGGAATTACAATACGCATGTATCACGAAAGCCGTGGAAAAATAAATGTACATTGATCTTTGGCTAAGCGATTTATACTTTTGTTTTTTTATATTAATTTATTATTAATTGTATTATCTTAATTATCACGCCTAATGTTAATATTATAATGTACAATTAGAATTAAAATATTGAAAATATTTATAGTGTTTATTAATAAATTTCACTTGTTTGTGTCGACAGAAATATCCTGTACAATATTATAATTTTCTTTTTAGGAAAATAATACTATCTATGCTAATACTTATACTTCGCGACTTGATCAGAAATATTGAGAAAATTACTGTTATAGATTTCATTTTCTTAATTAAAATACTGGTGATACGACTATGCTTTCGCAAGGAAGTCACGTAGCTCGTTTCAAATTTTTACAATTAGACTTGCAAATCGACTTCTACTTGTTGCAAAATATCTGCATCTGTAAAAAAAAAAAATAAATGTTTTTATTTACTTCGTTTAATTCATAATTTTCTTCGTAATAATCTCATAATTTTTTAATTAAATGTTTTAATCAATATATGTTTATAAAAGAAACTTTAGAAATTTACCTATTTCTCCAAATCATATAATATTTTGTCTTTAGTAGGCAGTATGCCGAAAGTTTGTCAAGCGTGTACCTGTTTGTTCTATTTGCATCTTATATTGCACAGTTATATACGATGGTTTAAAATATTAATCGAATAATAATTTATAAATTACCGTTTCGATTTTCTTCGACGTATAAGCTTCTTCTCTGCGAGTGTCTACCATCGGTCGTATACCTAATTCTAGGTTCAATTCTTTGCGCGGATATATAAGTTGGTCTAGTGAAATCGTCAGGACTAGAAACAACGGGCCTATTGGATCTTCTTCTGCAAATCACCAATCCAATAACTACACCGATGGATACTAAAATCAACGCCGCTACACCTACATTTAAAAACAAGGTAAAAATATATTTAATTGTATTTTAATACAGAGATGCATTCTAAAAATCTATTGTTGAAATCTTTTCAGAGTTTTTCTACCTATAAAAGCGATTACGATGATCATGCTTTGTGAATCGACTTGAGGAATTGCTTTCTTTAAATCTTCGAGGAAAATACCAGTGCTTTCTAATTTTCCACCAATTGGTTCAGCAACTTGTACGTGTTTTAGAAGAGCGGGATCGCTTCTTCCACGTCCGTTGATTGCATATACGTAGAGAGTATAATCATAGCCTGGTTCGAGATCGTGAAGTCGAAAGATAGGATTTGGATTTATTTCTTGATATATAGGCGGTACTTCGCTCACTACACCTTGATCGCTCTGTGGCGTTTGAAGAGTTTGTGGAATGACCTGTACGATGCCAGAATTACCAAAGGAACTGCGAACTTCCAAGAGGAAGTGTTGTGGTGAACCACCATCCGAACCAGGAATACAATTTACTTCTAAGGAAGTGCTTTCGTTGTGTAACGAACAGTCCATGGGTGTTTGTGGCGTTTCTACAACAACAAAAAATATCCTAATATAAAGCTTCATAAAAAAATCGTTTTTTAAAATTAAAAATAATCTTGTATTTATCTATCATAACAAAATTAAATTAGGTCAAGAATTGTTGGTCATCTACTGACAATGAGTAATCTGTATTGAATAATATAAACATTAATAATTTTAATGTATTCAATTTTATGTTACAGATACTTGTATCCACCTTTAATGAAACAAGAAAGAAAGAATTTAGGTAGTAGGTAACAAAAATATTTTTGTAGGTATGTATATGCCTATCAGGTTAGTCATTTGATCAACTTTGTTGATGAATAATAGTACTTACTTGCCGGTATTACGTTGAACAAACATGGAAGCCTTTGCCTTCCTATACTGTTACTAGCCCAACAAGCGAGAGTACCGTAATCGGTATCCGCATTGGGAGTGTAATCCAGTAAACTAACGAGGCCATTATCTCGAACTCTTGAATTTGGTAGCGGTAGGACGTCGCTTCGCGTTCCATTGAAGCTCCAGGAAAATCGAATCAAGTCGTCTGGATCTGCTTCGATTTCGCATCTTATGGTCACCATTTCACGTTTAGCAGCCATTATTTCTCGCCTCTCATAACCCTCTCTACATCTTGGAGCATCTATTCGCATTATCGAATAGCTAGGTTTTTATCTTGGTTTTTTAACAATTATAAAATTATTTTTTCTGTTAATTATATAGCAACTTACACTTCATGTAAATAAGAATAGGTGGACTTCGTCCTTGTCCAACAAAGTTTCTAGCTTCGCAAGAATATTCACCAGAGTGGTCGAGAGTGAGAACACGCAGAGTGAGCGTATTTGAGGATATCAAAATACCGGCACTCACGTCATGCTCTAATCGTACATCCTGAATTAAAAATTTTGTTCTTTATTATTATCTCTAATGATTTCGTTTCGAATCAAAATTTATTGCGGAAGAAAAATACTTACATTATGATACCAAATAACTTTTGTCGGTGGAGGATTGCTCTGAATATTGCAGATCAATTTCAGATCATCCCCTTCTCTTAATGTGTCTAGAATATATCCTGTTGCTAGGTGAGCCGTTAGAACTGGTGCGTCTATCAATTAATATTATAAGAAATAAAATTGAAAAATTTCTAGATAAATCGAATTTCAACATGATTTCTAATAACTCACAATGAACGTAAAGAATTTTCGTTTCTTCGAGAACACCGCCAGGAAATCGAGGATTTTCAGCTTTGCAAGTAAGTTCTTTTCCATCGTCATTTTTATTAAGAGTAAGAACGATCTTGCTGACGGTGGAATTACTTCTTTGAGTAATAGAAACGATAGGATCACCGATCACCTCGTCACCTAATCTCCATATAATTCTGGCAGCTGGAGAACTACCCCAAGTTTCACATTTCGCTCCAATCGGATGACCGGCGTACATCTCTTTGTCGCTTAGGGTAATTTTCACCACGGCAGGTTTAACTTAAAAGAAAAGAAACGAATGAATGAATAAAACAATTTAACGTACAATATCATTTAATTTAATTGTGAAAATAAATCTCGCATGATATTTCTTCAAAAGTAAATTTTACGTTTCATCGTAATTTATCGTTTTTTTTTTTTTTAAATTAAAAATTAATTCTTTGAAATCGGTAGTATGCTTCATCAAATAGAAAAGTATTTTTACAGGAAACGAAATTAACGATCGAAAAGAAGCGTTCGTCTGGTCGGCATTTGAGGCGTGTATTTTTATATTCGACGACAATTCTACGAAATGCAGCCGCCAAAGGAGTTAAGGAGAAGAACGCGCGAAACCGCCGGAATTCGCTTTGCTTCCGCTGCGGTTCGCTTGCCTCTCCTAAATTTAAACTTCTTTCTTCGTGGTCGCATAAAGCTTTTTCGCTGATATCATCGTAGAAGAGCTTCCACGTTTCTACTCGTCAGCAAGTTCAACTAAATTTTTCTTCTCAAGATATTCGCTTACGTCGGTGTAAATGTTCCTTTCACTTTCGATCGTAAAGATTGTCGAAAGTGTGTGATCCGATTATTTTGTTTTTTTATTATTATTTCTTTTCTTCCCTTTTTTACATTACTCAAAAATATATAACGTCAGAGATGCAATGAAACGAAAGCGAGATATTTCTTTTTTTACTACAAAGCAAAAAGTTGAAGATAGTTCCGTTCCGAGTGCCCTTTAGAACGTGCTTGAAATCAAAGGAGTGACCTTGGAGGGCGTCATAATTCGGTCTTTCTAATTTTAAATTGAGAAATCTGCATTAGAGGTTAGAAACGGCATTTACAATACATTTAGCTTCGAAAACGTACCTTTGAATACAACCAAATTATAGAAACTTCTACGTAAACAAGATAACCGGTTAAAATCAAATGAAACCTTTCAATATTTTTCTATTTCACATAAATAACTTTACTCTCCAAATGGATAAAAAAATATCTATTTTGATTCAATGGTTCGTTAATATCAAAAATGTACATATTATTTCAAATAACTACTTACGATAAATATCAAGAGGTACTTCTCGAATGATAGGTTTCGTCATAGGCGCAGATTGAGCTCTACACTCAAGTTTTGTGCCCCATAACGACCGAGTAATGTTGCCAATGAAGAGATGATTTATTGTGAATTTGCTCAAGGAATCATCTGTTGGAGTGTCGACTACACCGTCGAGTAGCTCACCGTCCTTCCACCACGTTACCGATGGTTTCGGTTTTCCTACAGTTGAAAAATCATTCGATATTCATTTGAGGAAGATACTTTACATATTTATGAAACGTAAGCATGAATGATAAATATAGTTTTACCTCCAGAAACTTGGCAGGTCAAAAGTAGACCATAACCCTCGAGAAAAGGGCCGCCTATCCCAGTTACCTCACGTCCCTGCGCATCGTATATTACTGGTCTCGTCGGTTCCTCTGAAAAATATACAAGGGGTCCGCTCTAATGATATTTCTTGGAATCATGGTTATAATAGTAAGATCGTTTAGCATAGAGTAGATTTTAATTGCTTCCTATTAACTTAAGCAGACACTGACCCGTGTGATCTAACACAATTTTACGGATCAGATTAAAATCTTTAATTAACTTTTATTTATTTGTCCTTTGAAAATGTCAATTATAGTTATCATCTACGTTTTAATTTCAAACTTTATTCTAGATTGTACGAATAATTATAAATATACTTATAGATATAGTCGCGTCAACTCTCTTTTATTATTTTTTTTAAACCATCAACAGTTTAAAACACGTAATATTATACAACTCTACTTACCGACGAGGGTGAGATTTGCTCTGAAATTTCTTGTTGGAGAGTCGACAAAGTCAACTCTACATCTGTATAAACCCTGATCCTTATATTTGACTTTGGTGATCTTCAATTTTGATCGTTGACCGTCGCCCACTTGAAAGTAAGTTCTCCTTCCAAGGTCGTCGCTGTCGGCCCAATGAAATGCGTCGCTTAAGTTACCGCTTCTTGCATCTAGGCTATGGAAAGTTTGTTATGAGAGAAATATCAAGTATCGTTATTATTTTTAGTTTTAGAAGTTTCATGATAAACTCAACTTTTAATATCTAATATCACTCGTTTAACTCTTAACACCTGTTGTATTTTTACTTCAAATCTAATAATCTTTAAGAAAGATTGGATTTAGAGTTACTTCCTATTCGTGCTAAAAATTATACGAATTGCAAGAAAATTGTGAAATTTTCCAGGAAATGATTTCATGGATACCATCCAAATTCGATAGAACTTATATACCAGAGTAAACAGTATTACCATAAGCCCGGTGAATCTTGGTGACTAACTCGCAAACTGGTATCTATTCTAGGACGGAAAAAGGATAGTTGGCAGGCTGAATGCTCAGATTTAGATTTGCCGCTTAGGACTAACGCGTTATGCAATCTAAGCAAGAAATCTTTATGGTGAAATGACAAGCTTCGAAAAAGACAGGAAAAGGTAGAAATATACAAATGAATCGAAACAAACATGGTGACATTCTTCAAATTCTTTTTCTTATTTTTCTTATTTTTGAAGTTATTATAAAAGATAAAAAATCATTTTCGTTAAAATATTGAAATTCATGGAACGTAGTAGATTTAAACGTCTTCACAAAGTTGTGGAATTGATACAAAGCGAACGGAAGTTCTTTCTAACCATACTATTAAATATAATTGTCGAGGAAAAAAAACAGAGAGCGTACGTTTCGACGCAGTTTGAAACGCCTATTCGTCGTTCCATCTTCTTCGTTTTTTTCCCTTTTCTTTTTCTTCTTTCCCTTTTACTCATCTGCTATGCCTGTTTTTCATCGAGAAATTCTAGGTCTCATAGGCAAGCATCGAATGAATAAACAAAGCCATAAAGTCTATGCAAAAGAGAAATCTGTTTTCTATACCGTTTAAAACGTCACCTGTTCGTTACCCTTTAATAATCTTTTTATTTTATTTTTCTTTCTTTTTTCCTACGGTTCCTATGTTTATATGTGAGAAAAATTCAGTTAACTTTACTTTAAACCAATTATTAGAAATAGTGATATAATTGTTATCGTTTCTAGTTAGCTTAGAATAATTTTCTATATGCTAGTAAGCAATGAATATAAAAAATGTTAGGTTAAATAAAAGGAAGCTATGACATTTTTGAGTTTGGAAATGTATTTATGTATTTACATACGTATATTGACAGCTGATAAAAACACACCAGCCCATTTTATATATGTCAATATCAGAATCTCTCTTTTCACCAATTTAATCCTATTCAATAGTATGATTAAACATTTTAAATGTGTATCCATATATATTAAAAATTTTATATATTATTTATACAATGAAAAATGTAATATCTCTTGAAAAAAAAAACCAACATATATGAAAAATAACGAGCCACGAAGTAAAGTGGTTTTCCATTTAAAAATAATTATTATATTTTTATTTCCATACATCTTTTATTACAAATAATTGTTAATTTTTAAATGAATTGAGAGCAGTGCTTTAGTAGTTTTGTAATTTATTTTTATGTACGAAAAGATGTGTGTACTTTTATCATTGTTTTTATACATTTCCTTCTAAATAAATAAGATAATTGAAAGTAAATGCAAAATGAAAGTTTTAATGAGATAAAATTAACTAGTAAACTATTATTAAGTGTTCTGCTATATATACACGTATTTATAAAATACTTTAATATATAAGCTGTATACATATTTGTAAACTTTCTCTTGTAAAACGTTTCAGAGTGAATTTCATAAATAGTATAGTAAAAAACAATTTTTTTCTGACTGTATACGAGTATTTAATGATGCGCGAATGGCGACACGCATGCCTATAGTTTTTCAACAAGTTCTTTTTCTTTACGATCGAAGTTACTTCGTTTTCGTAAATAAACTCGTTGAACCTAACGTCGCGTTTCCATAAACGCGTCAGACGAAAACGCATGTTCGATAAGTTTGCTCTATTTTTGTGATTGGTCAACGTTCACGAATTTCATCAACCCAATTTCCATCAACGCTTCCGATTAACCAAATTCTTTCAAAATATATCAATATATATCACTAATCTGACTTAACCCGTTTTTTTAATGACCGCTTGGCAAGTGGTTTAATTGTATCTTTTATGTGAATTTTTATTCATTAAATTGTTCTATTTTATTGATTACCTAAACATTTGATATATCCGATTTGACAATTTAATATTAAAATACTTTGTGCAGTTTTTCTGTTTCTCTCGAAATAGAAAAACTAAGATACATATTTTGTCGGTCAACAGTAGTTATTTAAATTTTTAGCAAAAAATGCTACTTCTGTTTATTTTCCTATCAAATATCAAAAATAGTGATATTTATTTACCAACCGAATACTCTACTGTCAGATTTTTCGTATAAACAATTTTGTATAGAAACTTATTTAGATGAAAAATACTGAAAATTCTGATATTACTTATAGAACGAAAATCAATACGTGGTAGTAGTTTGTTTAGTTACAAGTTTGAGTCGTGTCAAATATTATGTTTTGTAATGATCTTAGAAATTTAGATAAAAGATAATATAGAGAGCCGTACGATTTGAGACCGCTTGTTTTAGATTGTGAGATATTTCGAGATGCAGCATCAGAACAATGGTATCTCCCAATAACGCTTGCTTGCGGTCAGTACCCGAGTATTATGAGCTTTGAAAAAAATCTTGTTGTGTGAATCATTTTCTAACTTCTACGAAATCAGGAAGACAATGCAGGAATCTTAAGTGATGCCAAAAAATGTCTTATTTCTCGTAATCACATATTAATAGTCAAGAAAGAAATATATCTTGACACTTTGATAAATGATATTCTCAGTAGACATATATGTGCAGTTAAAAATAATACCAATTTATATCAAATTAAAATAAAATATATCATTTTACTTTCTCTTCTAAAGGATTTACAGTCACATTTTTAAGAACATTTCTCACATCTATCCAATACCACTAAAGAGGCCTCGCCATTTTACCAAATCTAAAGTCAACAATATACAGATCTTTTTTACTTTTTTCCAAACGAGTTACATATCCATTTTATTAAGTCAATTATAGTGATTTGACAAAAAAGGGTAATCGTAAAGTGGCTAGGTCTTTGAATAATTAAAACAAAATGGTATTCATAAAAATGGACAAAATAATATCAGTTTCTAATCTGATAAACGTTAATATTTTTAGTGTGTACGATTATAGTAATAGTTTTTCAAATAATTGATAAATAATTATTTTATATGAAATTAAAACACGAAGATATTTATAAAAGTTGATAAATTATCATAATATCAGTTTCAAGTTCTGTAAACTGTAACATTTAGAATACCTTGCAATCGTAATAAATTTTTAATTAATAAAAATTAATTGTATGTTGTAAGATTACCTGTAAAGAGGTATGCCAGCACTATCTCTAAACCAGAGTACCATGTTAACAGAATCATTAGGAGTGGGAGGTGTTATGTCACATGGTAATTCAACGTCATCTCCCTCGTTGGCCCATATCAATTTGACAGGTGCTGTAAAGAAAAGAAAATAATATCAAAGTATTATTAAGAAAGATAAAAAGATAAGGTATGTATTGGAATAGAAGGTATAATACTAGAAAGGAATAAAGAGTCACTTGTCAATGGCATACCAGAGTGTACTTTAACACCAAGTTCTCACGCACGTGGTAGCGAACAACGTCAAGGATCATGGCGGTTTATCGTTTCTATTTCCTCCGCGTATCGTGCCTCATAACATCTTCGTGAATCTAAGTTTAAATCGCGCTCGTGCGAAACACGACGCGACTCAGAGAATCGTGTATTGAACCTAGATTCATCATTCTTCTTTCAAAAGCAACCTCCTACCTGAGAGAATTTACAAAGGTAACTTACTTGAATACAAATTTTCAATAAAGATTTTATGTTATTTCTTTGTAGACGCGTGTATGTAAATGATCTCGATTTTGTGAGTATAATTTTAATTTCGTTAAAAGTGTTATATAAATAGACGAAAGAAATAAAAAAAAAATTTACAGCTTTTAATATAATAAGATCATTGATCGTTGGATGATGAAAGAATACTATCTAAAGTGATGGAAAAGAATAAAAAGAAACAGCTTCATTAAAAAAGATCTTTACTCGAGGGAGTAAAATTTTCAATGAATTTGATTTCTCACGATGTAAAATATTCATCTGCATAAAATTTTCGGGCCTCCTTCGGATATAAAGGTAAGCACTTGATAAATATAGTGTTAGATAAAAAGAAGAAATAAAACTTGGCAAGCGTTTACTTCTATAAATTGAAGAGAAAGGATATATTTGCATAGATTTTGGCAAGAATTTATGCAACATCCCCCGTTCAACATTTAACCCGAACAAACATATTTCCTTTTTTTTCCTCTTACAACTGCGTCATAAAAAGCTGAAAAATTATATCAATTTATAAATTGTTTATTCTGGGAAAAAAATTATTCAATTTTCTATTCATTTACTTCGAGAATCGTAAAAATGCTTAGTCACATTCTACGTGATGCATAATCGAGGAAAGAGATAAACTTTAATTAAAGCCAACAAATCTTTTGTACGTATCATACAATTCATTAAAAATAAGTACAATTGGTAGTAATAAAAATAAGGTATAGAAAAAAAAATAAAAACAACAGAAGAGGTGCACTTTAAGACAAATGTTGGAATAAACTTTTTAAGAGACAAGAAATGGGGAAAAGCGTGGAAAGATTAATTTATTGTAGAAAAACGTTTTGCGACGACAATAAAGAACATTCTCGAAGGATTCTCTCACGGTATACATAAAGGCGATTCGTGTAGGTACTTTTATTTTTCCTTCGCCGCGTCAGCGGTTCCGGCTTCGTTTCCTCCCTTTCCCTACATACAACTTCTTCGTCCTCTTTACTGAAACGCGCTGCTGACAGACAAAACGACCGAAACTAGTTTGTCCTCCCGACAGGACGTTTCGTCGCTTCGCGAAACCTTCCTGCTTCTTCTCTCCTCCTCATTCTCCTCCAATATCCACCCTCTTGTCCACCTATTTTCTCACAACAGAGACAGCGAATTCAGTTAGCTTATTACAAATTTATCTTCTGAGTGGATCGATTATTCGTCTTCCTTTTTTTTTGACGACAATTTCTTACAAAAACTTCAACTCGTTTGAAAGAAAAGGAAAAGGGGAAGAGAGCCAGGGGTTGCGCGTGCAAGACTTGACAATCAACAGGAACCTACATTTTCCGCTAATCAAGATTAACCAAGACCCAAGTGGGTGCTTTTTATCCTGTCCCTTTTTATCTTTCTCTTCTACTTTTACTTGTTTTATTTTTTATTATTTTTTTTTTATTTTATAACCCTCTTGACCCAGATAAAATCCCAGAGACATTCGGGTTCGTTTTCTTTACTTGTTTAAAATGTGCATAAAAGCAATGTTCGATATTAACAAGATTTTATATGCATATACTTTGAAAAGATATCTTCGACAAAGTAAAATGTAGTTATGTAAATAATAGTTTTTCGAAGGATAACATAGCTATTTTTGTATCACGTTCGTTGTGAAACCATACTTCCGCTGACTCATCTATTTTCGTATGCGTTGTTTTAGTCTCTTTTTAACTCCTTTCTTTCTTTCATTCGTTCTTTCTTTCTTTCTTTCTATCCAGTTTGACATAGCGGTGTGCAAATCTACGTTAAATAAAATTACGCGTTTTAATTCTTTTGAAGTTTTTCTTTATTTAACTAAATATCTATCATGTAGATATCCGAGGAAGAACTAAGAAAAGAAAAGAGATGACCTGCTTTTATTAAACTTGACTTTTATATTTTTCTCTTCTTTGTGTTTTATGTTAAACTTATTATTTCTCGTTGTTTAACTTTCTCGAATCATTATTTTTTTTTAATGGTTTCATTTTCTTTATTTTCTCACTCTCCTTCTGTTTCTGGATATTTTAAAGAAAATAAATAATTAACTATTCTTAATATCGTATAGATATTCTATTATTTAAATTCTTGGAAAAGGGACAAGATTATTTGAGAATGGAATTTAAAGGATCTGTGATAGTTATTGGAACGTTTAAAATAGGTCTGTCCTTCGCAAGTATGTCTACCTGCTACATTCCTCTACCACTTCCCTTGTTTGATTCTAACTGCAAGCGACCAACACCTGTTGCCATTCCATCCGTAAGAAGTACAGTTTTCCGATAAGACTTCGAGTAGCACAGAAACGTCTCACATCGAATCGATGCTTCTTCTTATCCATTTAGAACCTGTAACTACATTTTCTTTTTTGACACGATCTTTATAGGTGTTCTAATAAAAAATTGTCAAAAGTCAAATGATTCGTCTGTAATAAAATATTTTATTTTAACATTAGATAGTTTAATGTCAGTAGCAATGGTATAAGAAATTTATCAATTAACAACGTTAATTGAATCGTTTCTTTTATTCGTTCTTGTGGATGTGCAAAGAAAACACTCACGACTGCAAATACACACTTGAAGTGGTGAGAAGAAAGATTTATCTTCTACACAACCGACAGGTGGTTACTTAGATTTACATTTCCTTATTTCAGAAGGTACACTATTTTACGATCATTTATCTTTTTTAGCTGGAAAATAATTTCGTTTACACAAACCACAAATTAATCTTTTCCGTTGATCATTTTTTCAGTTTCTTCCGATGCTCTTTCTCTCTTTCTTTCTCTCTCTTTTTCTTTCTTATTCTTACCCTCATCCTCTCCCTTATTATCCTCTCCTGCCCTTTTATCTTCTTTTTCTCTTGGGTGCGATCCAGGTTAACGTCGGTTTTCCCTTTTAACGAATCTACTTTTCGTGTCGTGCCGCAAGGGCTCATGTAAAAGAATAAGGGCGTTTACATGACCGTTTTGTATGTTAATCTAATCAATCATCTAATTCTTTACCCTCTATGGCTTCGCACATTCTATTATGTCACTCATCATTTCCACCACTTGTTTCACCTATCGAGATTAATATTTCGACAATCTGAACACGGTTATCTACGCATTTACATATTTACGCGATTCGATTTTCACTTGTTGCAGGGAAAATATTGAATATTTTGTCTAGTTGTTATGTGATAAATTATAGGATGTAAAAGTAACGTTTTGATAATACTTCAGCTAATATTATTTAACGTTGAAGTATATTATCCTAGAATTTGGAAATGAGCACACGTAAAAAACTAATCGTTGAATAAATTACTAAAACAATCGATAATGTTGTAGGAACATGAAGTTAATTGAATAATAAATATAAAGATCTAATTAGTAAAGAATTCAATAATATTACGAAAAATGGCACAAGCTTATATATCTACGTTTGAAAATTATTCATCGATTAATAACGCAGTCGATAAAGATCTTTGTGAGCAGCTGCAAAGCAGATGGTGCGTTTTCATAAAGAGAGCCACGCGTTTTTCCTACAATTTATTATTTAAACCCAATCTAGATAATCAAATTTTTGTCGGAACAAGTTACAAATTAAATTGTATTTTTACGTATGAATGGACGAATTATTTTTGAGTTTTGTATTACGAGACTAAAATGCATTTTGATAAATAAACTCTTAAATCATTTTTTCTTCTATGAAATAACTAATTTTTTAATAGTTTATATAAATTTGGTTTAAATTAATGATCATCCTTTCTCTTTCTTTTTTTACCCTTTACCTGAAGTAAGCATTTATATACTTGAGAAAGTTAGAGACTAAATTATTCGGTTATGAACCATTTTCATAACTATAGCTCAACATATCAACTTTCGGAATAATCATTTGAACGGAATTACGCTCGACTTGGTTTGATATAACCTTGGCTACGTTTGTAACGCTGGAATAGCATTCAATTACATGGGCAATCACTCGTGTTGATTTACTAACTTTATTACTTGGCGCATAAAATCAAACGAAAAGCATTTACAATTATATAATACTTATTTAAATTTATATGAAAAAAATAAAAAGATTAAAGAGAAAAGATATTTAAAATTTTAAGATAAATATTCGAGAAAAATTAAACGGGATAAAATTTCAAACGACAAGTAAATAATAAATATAACAAAGATTTCTCGTTCTCAAGCTTGTGTTTTGAACTATATACGTTTTCATTTACCAGAAAACTTTTTGCAATAAATCCCTTGCTACTTGACTTTTAACTGTTCAGCAAATACAATATCTATTTACGATATCTTCTTGGGTGGCATGCAATCGTGATCAATAAATCGTTCTGAATATTTTGATTACGGACAACGGCTAAATCGGATGGAATATTAATAGAATAGTCATTTCCATTTTTGCGATGAAAAATAAATTTCAAATATTATTGAAAATCATATTTAAATACGATCTTGAATAAACAAAAATTTACACATTTTTCAAATGTATTGATATACAAACGTATATCATTTCGTTATAGAATTTCCCAGATGGCGAACGATCTTTCTTTCTATATAACAGGGGCGACACTCGTCTTTTTTCTTACACCCGCTGAAAATAAATCGTGCAAATTCTTTCGCTTCGAACTTGAAGCCAGCTGAGTTCTCGAACTTGGTATGAAATCCAAGGGATTGGTGCCGAAAATAAACTACGAGTAGAAGATATTCATCGATTCGTCAGAGCTCCTTTGACATTTTATCTAAACGAAAGATCTTTCTAATATCCAAGGTTATTATGCAAAATGATATCAAAGAATTCGAGTAAAAAGGTCGAGTGTGCTATAATTAAAGGCGTTCCAATTACGTGTCTCGTTCAATTCTTCAAATTTATTACGTTCTTTTTTTTTATCTAATCCAAGATTATCTATTTGACGTATTTAACGAAATATAATACATTTCATTTTCCTTTTCCTTAAGTTTAACCGAGAAAATATTTTATTTGAAAATTATAAGATGGTAAATTTAAAGTAGTAGTGAATTCATAACATGGAATTCCAAGTTAACTTCTTTACGATCATGAAATGCTTAATATTTGAATTACTATTAAATTAATAACATCAAAGAGCAATTTAAATATTTAAATTACATCTCTTCTTTCCGTAACCTGTTTGCTAAAATAAGCAAATGACGAGTGGACGCGCTAAAAATTCCTAGCAGAATATTTTAATTTTTTCTTCTTTTTTTTTTTCAAGAAATAGGATATCTTGCCGTCGGCACCAGAGATTAATAATGTAATTACAGTCTCGGTAAATGAGCAACGTCGCGAACCTTGCCAAATCAAATCATCATCCGTCCTGTCCTATCGCATAGAGTCAATTTTTTTTTTTTTTATGCATCTTTCGTTATACGAATCGAACAGAACGTTAAACACATGACTTTTTTTGATCAAAATAATTCTTTTTTTTTTTTACCACTTACCGAAAGTTATCAAATATATTTTCGATTATAAAATTTAACAAAATTGTAAGCCAACGATTGGTGCTCTCAATTTGAACAATTATTACATCTTCTAACATTCGTTTTTCTTTGCATCATGTTATATTATTGCAATCTTGTTATGTATGCAGTGTACACATAACAAGATTGCAACTTGCTATGTATGTGTACGCGTACATGTAAAATTTACGAGTAAGTGAAAAAAACTGAGAACAACTGCTGAGTATGAAGAATGGAAAGCAGAGTATATAAAAACTCACGTACGATAAATCACAAGAAATTCAACGAGTAAAATGATAGTAGATGCAATGATAACAATTTGGACAACACTTTTCCATGATAGTTCCACAAACAAGGGTCCACAACATCTTTACTACTTACAAGGCTCATAATCATGATACAGTTGACAGCGCATAAATGCTGTAAAGATTAATTAAACATTTCCAACTATGAAAATAAAGCTTTCTCATCTAGGAAAAAATAAAACCAATTAATAATAATATAACTAAAAATGTATACTTTCTAGCAACCATATATACATGGATTTAAAAAAAAGTATGAATGAACCTTTTAATCACTTTGTGCTCATTTCCATTCCAAAAATTATAAATTGTAAGCAGCAGGTAGAGATCGCTATGATTTTTTTTTTTTTAATGAAATGTGTCATAAATTTAAAAAATAATATGGACGCTGTTGCGTATGGAAATTGGTTTTTACGTCCATCAATTTGTCGCAAAAGATGGTTATCGTACCAGAAAAGCTGAGTGTGACATAATAATCTACAAAAAGCTTGTGTGTGTGTGTGTGTGTGTATACTTCATAAACACAAAAAGCAATTAACCATATTTTCTTTTAATAAATGAAAGTTCATTTCATGGTCTTGAAATCAATGATTCACGAAATTATGTTTAGAAAGGAAATTTCCAAAATTTGGTCCGACGAGAACCTCTCAAATTTTAAAAATTAGTTTGCTTCTTTTTTCTTTTTAATTATGTGAGATAACATCTAGGTCAATATTTGATTCTCAACTATTTTCCATTATTTTTAAATGAAAAAATTTACATTTTAATCTTCGAAGTATGTTTTTTCAGAGAAAGGAAAAGTTTAACCTTATAAATGAAACAAATATCTCAACAATACAAAAATAGAAAGTAAAAATAAATTGTTTCTTTTTATTGGCTAAAATAAATATTTCGAACCTCTCCTTCCCCTAACCGGTTAAATTTATTTCGTTTTCATCAAGTATTAACATTTAAACGGGTTCGTTTAAAATTCACCGAGGAAAATATTTCCAATCGATCAGCGTTCTATTAGAGAAAAAGGAGAGAAGCTTATCTAAACATTATGCATTCGTGTGTTCGGGTTCCCGCGGTAAGGAAAATAGTCGTAAAGGCAACGCTATTATTATCTTAAAAAGTGAAAGTAGAACGTTAGAAGAGAGTGAGAGAGAGGTCTATTCTTGTTGTAAGACGTAAGAGAAAACAAAGCTTCGGTTGAAAGTTTTCGAAGGCGAAAAAGTCAGTGGGTCGCGAATGCGAGCCCGTACGCGTGAGTTTATTTAAATCCTTCCGGTTTGCGCAGCGTAAAGTGGTAGAACGCTTGGTGCTAAGTTGGTAGTTTATTTAAAACTGATCGAGGGTCAGTGCTAAAGGCGACTCTCGTTGGTTCGTTAATCAATAAATCGATAGATATTAACTGTAGTATTATTGAACTAAATGGAAATGAATTAGGCTAAACCATATCAATAGAAATAAGAATAATTCTAACCTTTGCTTTGAAAGGGACTTTCTTCTTGTATAGGAGTTGCCTCGGAGGTTTGTGTTTTTAGCAATGTTAGAAATATCAGCAAACTCGTTGATAAGGTACCATGTCCGATCGGGGAGCGCATCTCGAATCAAGCTCAGGTGTTTTTGCCAATGTGTGAAACACCACCCCCACTACTGATTTTCCTCATTCGATTGATGAACATTCGAGCTACAAGCTCGAACGAATCAACGAGAAGGTTTTCTCTTGATAAATTCTGGACGTACTCGATTTTCCAACGAATACACCGCGGTCGACAAAATCGATCGCGAGCTTTCGCTCTTTTCGCAAGATCTTCCTTTCATTCTTGATAGTGCTCTTTTTTCTTTACGGTATCTTATTTAGTTTTTATTCTCATTTAATACAAGATCCAATACTTACGAATCCTATCATTCACGTTTTCGATTTAGCGAGAACGAAATTATTCGGATAAATAGATCTCGAGATTTTTCGTATTTCGAATGTACGACATTTTCAACGAGAGTTCGTTCCTGCTTTATTCTCTATTTGTTTGTTTTTTTTTGTTTCTTTTTCTTTTACGATCCTCGTAAGCCTTTTTTTCGTAAAGATGTTAGATACTGGCTCGTTCCCTCACACGTGCTCGTTATTACGCCGGACACGTCGCGGCTGGCTCATGGAATCTTTTTGATTAACAAAACGAGCCGTCGCACTTTTTGTCCAACCAACGGACCTCTCTTCTTTGTCCCCTTCCTGCTCGTCCTCTCGCTTCAATTCCCGTTCGGCAACCCTTTCGTATCTCCCTCGCAACGGCCTGATATTTCCTTTAGCTTAGTCAATACTTTTTCCGTCCTTGTTGGAGACATCTAGACGCCGACTGTCCCTTTCTTTCTCCCTTTCTTCTCTCGAGAGTTTACTTTTTCTTTTATCCTTCTTTCTTCTTTATCTTATTTCTTTTATTTTATGTTTATTTTTTACTTTTTATTTTTTTTTATCTCTCTCTTTTTATTCCTCTTCTTTTCGGTGCTTTTCTTCCTCTTCTTCTTCTTCTTTTTCTTTTTCTTCCTCTTCTTTCACGTCCACCCTCTCTTGCAAGAATCTCAACTTTGATCCCGTATCTCCGAGACGAATAAACCTTTTATTCTTATTTGTTTCTCTTTCAACGCCTCTTCGCGTTATTCTTAGATAAAGTTATCGTTTTTTTCCTACCAAAGGATCGTTCAATTTAGATCTACGATCAGGTGGCTAAATCTTCAAGTAACCCTTACCCTCTTCTATTTACATTTCTCACAATTCTAGAAGAATTTTGCTGTTCTCGTATTCTCTCTCCCTTTCTCTCTCTCTTTCTCTCTTTTCAGTAGAACCGTGCATCGAACTCTGAAGATTCTCTCAATAGGATTTCCTTGAATATCTAGAATCGTTAAACGAGAGCTAGGTTGGTATATTGCTTAAGTCTTCTCACCGTTCTTGCCACTACCGAGAAAACATCGAAACGTCACTTATTTATATCTCCTACGGAGGGTTCACGATAAATCCTGGCCGTTTTGTCATTGGTCTAATGCTGGAAAAAGTTGGCAAACTCCGAAAGCCATGGGATGACACGACTAATCATTTCGAATTTCCGCCCTCGCGGATAAACGTCTGCTAGGAATTTTTAAATGTCCTTGATGCTTCGTTCTTCGTGCCAAAAAGAAAAGAAATGAAGTCTCGTGATCGTGAAAATTGTTATCGATATTCTTCAGATTGATTCAATTTCGATATTGGAATTCTTTGAAAAAAATGTAAAAAGTCCAAACGCGAATAAAATTCAATGTTATTTTCTTCTCTTTCTTTTTTTCTCTCCCTTTCTACTTTTGAGACAAGATTCTCCTTGTCGCAACGGCAACGACTGGCACGAAACTAAAAGCAAAAGCGAAGACACGCGTGTAGTCTCCCCCACTGCTTACCAAAGAACAGCCTCCGTAATCGCGTGTGTGCCTTGCACGCTCGTTCGCGCGCGCACACACGCACGCACATACCTCGTGGCATTCTCGACCAATCACAACAGACCGATAGGGATATTCCTACGTCGCGTGCTCCTGGACATTCCGAACTGTAAGTAGTTTTTTTTATTCTTTTTTTCCCCCCACGCATTTTATTATATTTTTTAATTTGATTAAAACGTGAACGTATTAATATAAAATATTTAAATAATTTCAAGTATCGTTGTTTAATTAAACAACGATAATAACATTTGATAGTTTAATAAGTTTGTGACAATCTATAAAAATATATTTTATGGATATTTTTAATATAACTCTATTTACGATACGAACTTTACGAGCAATCCCTTGTACCATCAGATTACACGGAACATTTATGACGATTTATAAATATTTATTTGTAGTATATTTTTAAATGTTATATCCATTAAAACCTAACAATAAATATTATCTATAAAGTCATATTAATAATCGGACAAAATTTTTCGAAAAATTCAATATAAAGATACGAAGTAATTTTATTAGAAATGTCAACATTGAAATTAAATTCGGTGCATTATCGTTAAAAATGAAATACGAATTTTTCTATAAAAATCGATTAATCTTGTTTTCCGATACGTTAGAAAATCTCTGCGCGTCTCTACACGTCATTCCAACGTTTAATATATCGCTACAGATGGTAAGAGCGTATACACACTCACGCGCATGCTCAACTGAGGAGGTTCGAAATACGCGCGTTCCGCTTCGCCGCGTGCCAAGGGACCTATCTTCGTTTCTCTCTCGCTTTTTCCTTCCCGCTTATTCTCTCCCTCTCTCTTTCTCTGTTTCTCTATCCCTCGTGTATGTTTCGGACGAAGGGAGAGACGAAAACGAGTGCGCTATGGTGGAATGAGCAATTGCGGGGTGAGTTTCTGGCATATCATGATACACCCGATTACGCGGATCCTGAATCGTACAGAAGAGAGAGTGAGAGAAAATACTGAAAGAAAGAGAGAAAGAGAGAGAGAGAGAGAAAGTTCGACACTCGTGTCCGAGGGTGTAACCTTTTCTTTGTAAATGAAACTCAGGAATATGTCCGCATACAAAGAGACTTTATTTATCCTTTGATAATTGATAATTTTAATCGATCAGTGATAAGAATCGTCGAGTTAGTTATTACATATACTTGAACAGTTTTGTATTACTGTAAGTTTTGATAAAGAAATTCAATATTTGAAAAGGGTCTAGTGGAAAAGAATAATAAGCCAGAAGATGGAAAAGAGTACGCATTAAAAGTTTGAGTACGACGTTAAATGGATAACATCATAGAGTTATGGTATAATGGAAAAAAAGGGTCAGTATTTGCTTAGTCCATTTACGTGGCGTTAAACAGTAAATTTCTTCATTGCTAGTGTATTCGGTCGAGTACTTTACGTTAGCGCAAGAACAGAAGACGAGCGTTAATTTACCCTTCGCGAACATTGGGTAAATAAGACGAAGAGGAAATATCGATTTCATGTCCCACTCAAAATGGAATTCTCTTTTGTGACTAAAGTAGAGAGGATATCGATTTTTTGTATTTTCCTAACCAAAAAGCTCCAATAGTATTTTTCTTTTTTATAACTAAAATAAATTTATCCGCTTCCAATAGAATTTACTAATACGATGTATATATACATGCATATGTGTATGTATAAAATTACACGCAATCCTTCTTCTATCTATTTCAGGTATCCTGGGGTTTTTATCAATGTTGTCTTTCGAACGGCAACGAAACTCGAATTTGTTTTTCATTACAAATTCACCGGCCATGTAAGCACACAGTTTATCCTTACGTTTAATCCGCTCGTTCCGACGATTTCTACGAAAAAACTTCACGCTTGTATTATTTCAGGATTGTTTTGAATTAGAACGAATCCTTCGTTTATTTAATCGTGCATATGCGTTTGCTTTCTCTTACCTTTCCGTATAACTTTGAAACGAGATACGGTTCATTTCTTTTTTACAAAGGCTCTTATCGAACTAACTGATCTCACGTTATTCTCCAATACGTTGTGATTGATCCTTTATCTCGTATATTTCGAATTTCATATATGCATTATCGACGTGGATTTTCATAAAATGCTGACAGATTGTAAGGAAAATAAGTAGAATTTATTTCTTTCCACATATTGATCGTAGATTTTGAAAATAATTCCTAAAAGCCAACGGATACTGACAATACTTCGATATCGGCGCGTGCGAAACGCGTGACGTGATTTCTTTATCGTTCGAGTTCTATATAGAATTCTTCACGTGTTTAGAATCTCCTAGAAAAATCTTCGATATATGTATATATATATACATTCAGAAAGAACGACATTCGTTATCTTTAAGCGACATGAATGTATTCAACGAAAGGTTTGTCATTGTTATTCTCTATGTGTCTTTTTCTAGCTAGAGATATCAACGCAATTTTATTCCTTTTCCTATAAGCAGTCCCCATGGATTTTGTCAAAGCCGTATCGAGCTCGTGCGATCTTCGCTTTACCTGTGTGCTCGAGATATATTATATATTTTTCGTTTGTCTGCCCGTTGATGTACTTTAGTATTGAACTTCGACAACGTTCTGTTTAGTTTGAGAAAGATGAAACGAAAGAGAGAGAGAGAGAGAGAGAAAGGAAGAAAGATGGAGATCAATATCTTCCTTCCAGACCCTCGAATAAACTATGACCGAGTTTAGCCCTTCGAAGGATATAAATAATAGAATTAGAGATGATACCTAATTGTTACGAATAGTAACAAAATTTATGACTACCCGTAGGTGGTCTTTATATGGCTTATTCGATATCCCGCTTGGAAATTGTTCGTTTGTGTTGAATGTAGATATGCGAACATACGCCTGTATCAAAACGCAGAACAAGAGGAAGTTACTGTTGAACGTTTAAACGGAGTTAATATAGTTCCGACTGTTTTCGATGTTTCAGTTATTTCCCTGTTGTTGTTCTTTGTTAAACATAAACCGTACTATCAGGTACTAACGCATATCGTTGTCACAAAAAGAAATTATTGGATCTACGTTCATTTTCTCGCGATCGTTTGTGAAGTAGTTTGTCCTATGTATGTATATGCGTTCATGCATGTGTTTTCATGTTAATTATTTGTTTTTCTTTTTGTTGTAACCATACTCGAAATGGGTAAAAAAAAAACAGATTTTGAAAACTAATTTTTTATGAAAATACCAATTAATTCTCTGCTTGGAAAAAAAAATTGTCCATACTGATTCGTGTGATTTCAATTCACATGGATATAATCGACTCTTTCGATTTTTGAAATAAAAATTTCATTTCGATAGGACACTTCCGTGATGTTAAAATTTCTGGATAGAGTTAAGAGTAGAAGACAAATTGTCGAGGATGCGGGTTAGGAAAATGACATTTCCGGTGCAAAGTGGCGTGCGTGGGGTCGTCAAAGTGTACACGTATTCGAAATCCTTCTCTCTCTCTCTCTCCCTCTCTCTCTCTCTCTCTCTCTCTGTCTCTCTCTATCTCTCTATTAAATCTAACGTTATCTCTTTGCCTAAGATTTAAAATAAATGATACGAATAGCGCATCTGGTGCAATTTATTACTGAACACTATTACATATTTCTATTCAGTAAAATACGCTCTTTCCAACGTAATGGATAAATATTAATTTATTTTCAGTACATTATGACACGTATAATTTATCTAAATCCAAGTGAAAAAATATATGTTATTCTTAAATCTATTATTAAATAAAAAATAAATAGGAAAATTATTTTAACAATAATTATTACCTTTTTAAAAGTATATGTAAAATGAGTATTACTCGTTTATTTACAAATTTTAATCGAAAATAATTTTCAATCCAATAATGAAACATACTTCTAAAAAATTGAATTTTTTTCTGAAAAGGATGCCTAAAGTATATTCGATTTTTATGATTTATTATTCCTTAAAGTTTCTTCACAATTCTCTAATAT